GTGTGTGTGTGTGTGTGTGTGTGTGTGTGTGTGTGTGTGTGTGTGTGTGTGTGTAATTCAAGAACTTTCTATTGGTGCTGTTCAAATGACCAAAAACATGTGGGTTAAAATCAACACAAATTTATTACCCTATACACTGTAGTTCTGGAGATCAGAGATCTAAAATGGGTCTTTTGGACTAAAACCAAGTCAGCATGGCTGCAATCTTTCTGGAAAATCTGGCAACATCTTTTTGCATGTGTATGGCCTCCTTTGGAGAACTTGCTTTGGGTATGACTCTTTGCTTGGAAAACAGTTCAAGGAGTTCAGGTAACATGAGTTCTAGTGACACAAATATAGACAAATCAGACATCATTTGAACCCTAAGAGTTAGACTAGTGACAATCAGATCAAGTGTCTCCTCCTATCCAGTGTGACTGAGATGACTGGTTCTTTGGATCTCTTCCAGTTGCTTTACAAAGAGAAGATTGGTAGCAAAATGGATTGAATCATATTATAATAGAAAAAATTTTGAACTAGTTTTGTTGCTTTGGTTACAGACTGACATTTAGATGCTGCATTGTGTATTTTATCTTGGAAGTTGCTTATTGAATAGTTAGCCCACAGTTGCTCCATAGCTTTTTTATTCCAATAATTGTTTTCCCACAGCCAACTCAGGTAAGTGAAATTTCACAAGTCATTATCTTTTTCATTTCTATTGATGGAAGGTAGGTAAAGGTAAATCAAATATTTTGATTGAGTGCTACAGGACTTTTCTAGTAGAAAGCCAAGTCCTTCATGATAGCTCAGTACTGTAATGAACATTATTTTTTCTACTTTCCTAATAGAGTATATACTTCTTTAGAAAAAAAATATAGCACTTCTACGTGAACCTTTACATTGATTTAAAGTAAGAAAAATTATTTTGTCTTCATTTATATCATTTGAGATGACAATGATGTCTAAAGTATATATTAGCATATTATTAGCCTCTTTGACAGGGGATGTATTTCGTGTCTTCTAACATTAGCTCATTCTATTTGGCATGCTTGGCCCATCAGCATTTACTGGTTGGTTCATTGGCATTTACTGGAA